TACATACATACATACATACATACATACATACATACATACATACATACATACATACATACATACATACATACATACATACATACATACATACATACATACATACATACATACATACATACATACATACTTACATACATATAAATATAGCTGAGTTCGTCTCCAATGTTGTAATATAGGGGAGTCTGATATATTCTTTTTGTCACTAATGATTGTTATTAGCCTTCAGTTAAACATTGGTTTATTGTGCACACACCTTTCATGTTCCTCTATAGTGCTTTCTTTTTATTATCATCGGGATATTTGTTAATGTCTAGCTTGACAATGAAAAGCATCACTCCAATAGGAGCACCTAATTAATTCATTCCCCTTTTTTTAAAGATCTCTCGTGATCGCAGTGCTGTATAGATAAAATGATGTGTTGAATTATTCTTTGCAATTGCAACCCATCAGTGCATCGCTTAAGTAACTGTGAAAAGTGATAGTAAAGAAGTGATGGTAAACAAGTAATAATACACAAGTGATAATACCCAAGTGATAGGTAAGTGATAGTCTAATGAACATATTAATTTTTTATTTAATTTAATTTTTATTTTTTTAAATCCACGACTTGTTGATGAATAGAAGCATCGGTAGATGAAGTAGCTACGGGGGGGGGGAATGGGGGTGGCGTGCCAGACTAGCAGGGAGGCTTGGTGGTGTCACATGGGGTTTGCCTCTTCGTGGCGTGGCTGACTAGTAGGGAGGCTTGGTGGTGTCACATGGGGTTTGCCTCTTCGTGGCGTGCCAGACTAGTAGGGGGCTTGGTGGTGTCACATGGGGTTTGCCTCTTCGTGGCGTCACAGACTAGTAGGGAGATCTCTTCTCCCGAGGCCAAAAACCCCGACCACTGCATGACTCCTAACGCAACGGGAGGAACGCAATAACTTGATTGCTTGTTGCCGTCCATGGATATGTGGTCTGGGTGGCGGTTAAAACCCATACCGATCGTTATAGCTACGCGGCCCTGAGAAAGCCACTCCTAGACGACCTTTCGTCCCAGCTTTTTTCCCAACCGAAAGACACCCTGGATGGTGGAGGGTGGTAACGCAACACCTTTTCCCCGGAGTGGAAGCAAAGCCGCCCTGACCCACGGGAGAGTGGACCGCGAACGCTTTAAACGCAGCGTTTTCGATCGACCGGACGTCCCCCAGGCCAGGGGGAGGTTCCCGGCGTCCTTCCACACGGTCTGTCGGTGTGGAGACCCGGGGGGGGGGAAGGGGAGCTATTTAGAGCTAGCGCTCGACGATCCACCGATGCCATTTCCTAATGTGACATCGTTAGTAGATGAAGTAGATGTAAAAAAGCAATGCAGAACATAGACAGGAAAAAAACAACTTTCTTGTGAAATGAAAGAAAACATTTATAGAATTAAATGTATGCACAATGTAATGCTAATCGTATACACACTGTTTGTGTAGTGCTAATCGTATGCAAACTGCGTGTGTAGTGCTAATCGTATGCACACTGTTTGTGTAGTGCTATCATATGCTCACTGTTTGTGTAGTGCTAACGTATGCACACTGTTTGTGTAGTGCTAACGTATGCACACTGTTTGTGTAGTGCTAATCGAATGCACACTGTTTGTGTAGTGCTAACGTATGCTCACTGTTTGTGTAGTGCTAATCGAATGCACACTGTTTGTGTAGTGCTAACGTATGCTCACTGTTTGTGTAGTGCTAATCGTATGCAAACTGCGTGTGTAGTGCTAATCGTATGCACACTGTTTGTGTAGTGCTAATAGTATGGACACTGTTTGTGTAGTGCTAATCGTATGCACACTGTTTTTGTAGTGCTAATCGTATGCACACTGTTAGTGTAGTGCTAACATATGCTCACTGTTTGTGTAGTGCTAACGTATGCACACTGTTTGTGTAGTGCTAACGTATGCTCACTGTTTGTGTAGTGCTAAGGTATGCTCACTGTTTGTGTAGTGTTAATCGTATGCAAACTATTTGTGTGGTGATAAACGTATGCACACTGTTTGTGTTGTGCTAACCGTATGCACACTATTTGTGATGTGCTAAAAGTATGTGCACTGTTTGTGTAGTGCTAAAAGTAAGCACACTTTTTGTGTGGTGATAAACGTATGCACACTGTTTGTGTAGTGCTAAAGGTATGCACACTGTTTGTGTAGTGCTAACCGTATGCACACTGTTTGTGTTGTGCCAAACGTTTGCACACTGTGTGATTCAATAATTATTTTCAAATAAAAATTATTCAACAGCAAAACTGCCCATATTGGCTGACATATTTCTGGTCCTATGGGTCGTGCATCTGATAAGTCGTGGAAGTCACAAGTCATGGAAGTTAAAAGACATGGAAGTCATTAATCATGGATGTCTTAAGTCAGGGATGCCATAAGTCATGGATGTCATATTCTGGCACCTAACACTATTGCAATGGGGATACGCAAGTGACTGTGCACATCTTACTGTAAAGAGCTCTGCGTTTGATTAATACGTTGTAACGTCCAAAAGAAAAGAAGAAGAACTTTATGGCATCTCTTCATTGATTTTCGTTGGAATTTAAATGTAAAAAAATCTGTTTTTTTTTTGTTACTGTGCAAACATTCTCATTTTAACCACAAACATAAATTGTTGTTATTAAAAGTTAAAAATCGAAAGAACTCGCATTTAAGATTTTTTTAAAGGAAAAATTGCACAACTTATGTAATAGACGTAAGGCTTGGGTAAATTAATAGTATATTTTATTCTGTACTTTTAAAATGGGATCAAATATTTACATTTGTTTATTGAACTAAGTTTTTTTTACTCTTATCAGGAATAATTGAGTTGATGACAGAGAGAAAGTGCATGAATGGCATGGGTAAATTATAAGTGGAACAGAAGAACGACTTAATTAATCGATTGTTATGGATGTCTTGTTGAGTTAAAAAGCAGATGAGAAACAGAGAACACTTCAATAACATACTCAAAACATAACGATACAATTACATCATAGAAAAATATAGCGTCATTATTTAACATCCTAGAAGCATGGCACCATTCTATAACATCATAGAAACTTAGAGCATCATTATTTAACATCCTAGAAACGCGGCACCATTCAATAACAGCATAGAAACAGATTACCATTCCATTATATCCTAGAAACAAAGCACCAAGCAATAAGTTCATATAAACAGAAGACTATGTATCAGCATCTGTCTAAGGCCCCATCCACTGATCACAATCGAGGGTGCCAAGCCGGGAGCGTTGCTAGTGGCGCCATCTGCCTTCATATACGCATGTGCTACGTCACCAGCATCAATATTACGCCTCCACTCTGGAGATGGCCAAAATACAAGATGATATTGCAATACACATATACCATGTAGGTTTGATGCTGTTATACCTAAATACCAGGTAAGTTTGATAATGCAGTACCTAAAAATCTTGTAAGTTTGATGCTGCAATACCTAAATAACCTGTAAGTTGATACTGCAATACCTTAATACCATGTCAGTTGATACTGCAATATCTAAATACCCTGTAATTTGATGCTGCAATACCTAAATACCATGTAAGTTGATACTGCAATATCTAAATACCCTATAAGTTGATACTGCAATATCCAAATACCCTGTAAGTTGATACTTCAATACCTAAATAACCTGTGACGGATTCAGTGCATTGGCTTCAAGATAACCCTCTCTCCTACAAATATAAACTCTTTCTAAAGTAGTTACACTGTTCACAGTGACTAAACATGTATTAGCCCATATATACTACCTTACATTGTGTATGCACCTGTCTTTGTGTTTGCATCTGTCATTGTTTCTGCACCTGTCTTTGTATGTGCATCTATCTTGTTAGTGCACCTGTCTTTGTGTGTGCATCTATCTGCTGTGTGCATCTATCTTGTGTGTGCACCTGTCTTTATGTGCGCACTAATCTGTGTGAGGGACTTCTCCTTTGGCGTGCACTTATCTTTGTGTATGAACCTGCTGTTTTGTGTGTGCCTGTCATTTCTTATCACCTGTTGGTCACTAGCAGTGACAAAAAGATGTCAAGGACATGGAATTGGAGAGATCCTTGACAGTGCCACAGAGACGTCATTGAACATGTCTTGGACAGATCTCTGACAGTGTTGCATAGCGAACATAGTTATTATTATAATATTAAAACGATTTCACAAACAATTTAACTTTAACATCCTTGTTCAAATCCCCTTCATATCATCGGCTATTTACAAATATGTTTAATTATACATATCGGTGGCTTCACACAGATGCCATTGATGCTATCACAGGCGTAGTGACACACCATTCATTGACAGATGCCATTGATGCTATCACAGGCCTAGTGATACACCATTCATTGACAGATGCCATTGATGCTATCACAGGCGTAGTGACACACCATTCATTGACAGCTGCCATTGATGCTATCATAGGCCTAGTGACACACCATTCATTGACAGCTGCCATTGATACTATCACAGGCCTAGTGACACACTATTCATTGACAGATACCATTGATGCTATCACAGGCCTAGTGACACACCATTCATTGACAGCTGCCATTGATGCTATCATAGGCCTAGTGAAACACGATTCATTGACAGATGCCATTGATGCTATCACAGGCCTAGTAGCACAACATTCATTGAAAGATGCAATTGATGCTATCACAGGTCTAGTAATACACCATTCATTAACAGATTCCATTGATGCTATCACAGGCCAAGTGACACACCACTCATTGACAGATGCCTTTGATGCTATCACAGGCCTAGTGAAACAACATTCATTGACAGATGCCATTGATGCTATCACAGGCCTAGTGACAAAACATTGATTGACATATGTCATTGATGCTATCACAGTCCTAGTGACACACCACTCATTGACAGATGTCATTGATGCTATCACACGCCTAGTGAAAGACAATTCAATGACAGATGTCATTGATGCTATCACAGGCCTAATGACACACCATTCATTGACAGATGCCATTGATGCTATCACAGGCCTAGCGACACACCATTCAATGACAGATGTCATTGATGCTATCACACGCCTAGTGACACACCATTCATTGACAGATGCCATTGATGCTATCACAGGCGTAGTGACACACCATTCAATGACACATGTTATTGATGCTATCAAAGGCCTAGTGACACACCATTTATTGACAGATGCCATTGATCTTATCGCAGGCCTAGTGACACTCCACTCATTGACAGATGCCATTAATGCTATCACAGGCCGAGTGACACACTATTCATTGACAGATGCCATTGATGCTATCACAGGCCTAGTGACACACCATTCATGGACAGCTGTCATTAATGCTATCACAGGCCGAGTGAAACACCATTCATTGACAGATGCCATTGATGCTATCACAGGCCTAGTGACACACCATTCATTGACAGATGCCATTGATGCTATCACAGGGCTAGTGACACACCATTCATTGACAGATGCCATTGATGCTATCACAGGGCTAGTGACACACCATTCATTGACAGATGCCATTGATGCTATCACAGGGCTAGTGACACACCATTCATTGACAGATGCCATTGATGCTATCACAGGCCTAGTGACACACTAGTCATTTTCTTTATAAATAGTAGTTTGTAGATGTCATGTTTTCTTAACAGCATGATAACATCATCATTCTTTACCTATTTCTGATTTCTCTTTGATCGTTTCATTGATGTATTTTTGTCTCATTGACTCGTCCACATCATCAGGACAAGTAAACCTACGCAGACAGTCGATTTGCTCTTTATAGCCACTGAAATAGACACTGTTTTTATGATAAAGTCTGCATCGGATACAAGTAAGTATGGTGGTTAAACCCAGGCTCAGTGCAACCACCACTGTACCAACCACTAAACCTATCACTGTTCCCACCACTGTACCCACCACAGGGAACGATCACTGTACACATAAATGTACCCACCTCTGTACCCATCACTGTACCCACCTCTGTACCCATCACTGTACCTTCCACTAAACCTATAACTGTACCCACCTCTGTACCCACCACTTTACCATCCACTGTTCCAACAGCTGTACCCACCAATGTACCCACAAGTGGACCTGCCATTGTACCCACCACTGTACCCACAACTGTACCCACTGCATTACCTGCTTCTGTACCCAATGTAGTGTTAATGACATGGCCACGCTTGTCTTACCTCTCCCGCAAACACTTGTTGATGGTCTCCAAACAGTGCCACGGCTCCACAGCAGCAGATTCTCCATCACTCACGCGTAGAGCCCCAAGAACTGGAAAGAAATGCAATAACATCATTCTATCTAACAAGGCAAGCGGCTGAACGTGATTCTTGCTCCGTGGTGTTGCCGCTTCAAATTTGGGTTCACAACTAGATTCAAGAAATTCTCTTCTGTTATAGTGCAACTTGAAACTGGCACCCCTTACTTACTGTGGAACCCCTTACTTACTGTTACACCCCTTACTTACTGTGGAACCCCTTACTTACTGTAACACCCCTTACTTATTGTGGAACCCCTTACTTACTGTAGCACCCCTTAATTTTTGTGGCACCCATGACATTTTATCCCACCATCTTTAGGAAGAGGTATCGAACTTCCAAGCTATGCTATTGTATTTTCGAAAAATGATAAGGACACTGTTGACCACTGTGGCTATCAATTTGTAGGTAATATACTCTGACAAAGACAGCGTTAAAGTCAGGTCTGCACACCATACGGCCCGCCAGCACCCACTTAGCGGCCGCGAAGTAATGAAATCTTCTTTATTATTATTATTTTCTTAATAGCTTTCCCCCTTGTCCCATTTTCTTTCAGCCCGCACACATTTTTGTTTGATCAAGTATTACGGCCCGCCTAACAGTTTGAGTTGTGCAGGCCTGCTTTACACTATCAATTATTTTGTTTTCAAACCTTTCAAAAATGTTTGGTTTACTTAAAGTTTTTGAAGTTATGTATTTACCCAAAAGAACCAACAGATAAAAGCTAAGCCTATCGAATGAGGTGTCTGAAACAGTCATGGCGAAAAGCTTCGGAGATTGGACTCCGCCTTTTAAAATTTGAAATCCCAGTATTTGGAAAAAGGACGAAATGATCTTGTTTTGTAACAGGATGAAGCCATTTTGATGTTGTTAGTCAATAGGGGAGACTTTTTTGTGCGCAGATTTCAATCACGTCATCGATTATTATTTTTTTTTTTTAAATCTGCGTCTACTTTCCACTATAACCATACTTTGAATAAAACGTTTTGGATTGTTCACGAGGACACTGGGACACACTCTTTCTATACTTTCATAATTTATAAAATAAAAAAAAAAAATTTTTTGTCTGAAAATGACATACCTGTATTAAAACAGAGATATGGTTTTCTGGAAACTGTTATATAATAGCGAACGTTTGAATGCATTTAAAAATAAACAACATTTTAAGCGGAAAAAAAGGTTATTTTCTGAGTAAAGAATTAAAAAAAAACGCTCAATTGAGTAACTTCAATGTTATTTCTTGAGTTCTGATGACGGTGACCAAACAAAAACAAAGATAACGACGTTAATAAAAACAAAACAAAAAATTGTGCTTGAACTGGATGTGAAATTGATTTTTAAAAAAGAACTAAGATTGAAATTCTGTGTCCAAAAATTTTTCAATTTTACCACAAATAGGACTTCAAACAGGACATTTCAATTAGGTCTATTCCATAAATAATCAATTTCATTTAGTTTCAACCTTGTGTTACTAAAATATTTGTAAGAAAAAAAGACATATATACAGATCCCAATCACCTGTCTCTTTCTCTCAGTATTTCATATATCATACAATCTTTACTACCTGTCTCTTTCTCTCAGTATTTCATATATCATACAATCTTTACTACCTGTCTCTTTCTCTCAGTATTTCATATATCATACAATCTTTACTACCTGTCTCTTTCTCTCAGTATTTCATATATCATACAATCTTTACTACCGGTCTCTTTCTCTCAGTATTTCATATATCATACAATCTTTACTACCTGTCCCTTTCTCTTAGTATTTCATATATCATACAATCTTTACCTCCTGTCTTTTTCTCTCAGTATTTCATATATCATTTACTCCTTACCACCTGTCCCTTTCTCTTAGTAATTCATATTACAATCTCCACCACCTGTCTCTTTCTCTCAGTATTCCATATATCATAGAATCTCTACCACCTGTCTTTTGCTCTCAGTACTTCATATATCATACAATCTCTACCACATGTCCCTTTCTCTTAGTATTTCATATATTAAATAGTCTATATCACCTGTCTCTTTCCCACTGCATTTGATATATTATACAATCTCTACCACCTGCCCCTTTCTCTCAGTATTTCATATAGTAAACAATCTTTACCACCTGTCCCTTTCTCTTAGTAATTCATATATCATACAATATCTACCACCTGTCCCTTTCTCTTAGTAATTCACATATCATACAATCTCTGTCACCTGTCCCTATCTCTCAGTAATTCATATATCATACATTCTCTACCACCAGTCCCTTTCTCTTAGTATTTCATATATTAAACAATCCTTACCACCTGTCTCATTCTCGAAATATTTCAAATATCATACAATCCCAATCACCAATCTGTTTTTCCCCTCTGGTTAGGGGATATGAAATTTCTACTTTTTTATGCTATTTCTTAATCTGTAAGGTCCATGCCTGTTGAGAATTACGCAATGATATTCCATAGAGCCAGATGGCAAGCTATAAAAATTCGTGTGCAAATTGAGATTGTAAGGGCAGCTGTTTGGCCATTGGTGCTTTTACTTGTGTCTGTTAAAAGAAAAAAACAAAAGGGTGGGGGGGGGGAATACATTGATAATCTAAATGATAATAATAATATTATTAGTAATAATGTCAACAAAAATATCTCTGAAGATAAACACAAGGAAACAAAAACGCGCCTTTTTTTGTACGAATTGCAATTAAAGACAAAGGCCTTGACCTATTTGTGCTTCACCATTCACCTAAAGTAGGGTGACCAAACGTCTTGTAAAAACGGGATTGTCCCGGTATCCCGAAAAAGTCTCTCGGGACGCCTAAAAAAATCACACGTTTTTTAAAAAAACAACACATGTTCAAATCACTATAACTTCCTAATTTATAATATAACTTCAAATAATATTTTGGCTAGATGTGTGGCCAGTGCCAGTAGTGATGTGGGCTCGCGTGATGGCTGCACTGTTCCCCTCCACCACTCTGCCGACAATGCGTAAACGACAGTGTCCCTGACATAGATCTTATTATATTGTAAACTATGTATAAATAAATAATTATTCACTGCAAAATTATTATTTCCGTTTATGACATGCCTCAGAGTTTAAATGAAATTACAAAAGTGAAGGTAAATTTAACAAGATTTCTAGGTCTCAAAATAGTTAAAATGAGCGTATTTCAAGAAACAGTTTCCGGTGGAGGCACCTTTAGTTGGAGGGTATCCCCCCAAACCCTCCTTGGGTGTGTCCCGTTTTTTCCAGGGCATGATTTGGTCATCCTAACCTAAAGGGTTGACCGGAAACTGAATGGGTAAGGAAAGGTCATCATTTCTGCTGTCGAGGAAATAGAGTAATCAAAGGAGCCGACTTTGCAAACTGAAGATACATTGAGAAGTGAGTTAGAGGTAGACACGCCAAGTATGAGATACATCGAGAAGAGAGCTAGAGGTAGACACGCAAAGTATGGGGTACACCTGGAGGCAACTGAAAGGAAGACACAGGACCGATATGAATGGAAATCTCAAATAGAAGTAGATGCCCCAGACAGCGTCAAAGGCAAAATCGAGTAAAAAAATTACAATACTAATCTGAGCACTCCAGTTAATAATTAAAAAGATAAAATAACAATTATCACAATAATTATAAAAGCAGGTTGAGTCGTCTATTATGACAGAGCATCTGGACACAAAATTCGGACACAAATTATCTATACACAATATCTGGACACAAAATCTGGCCACAATATCTCTGGACGCAAAATCTTTAAAAAAAATATGGACACAAAATTCGGACACAATATCTGGACACAAAATATGGACATAATATCTGGACACAAAATCTGGACGCAATATCTGGACGCAATATCTGGACACAAAATCTGGACACACAATCTGAACACAAAATCTGGAAATAATATCTGGACACAAAATCTGGACATAATATCTGGACGCAATATCTGGACACAAAATCTGAACACAATGTCTGGAAATAAAATCTGGACACAAAATCTGGACATAAACATGACGAAGACCTTGCGAGGACCAGGCACATGAACTCGATAGATTCGAAATATTTATACACATATTTAGAACATGTTATAAAGATAATGTGTTGTAAAGGGGTTGCGTCATCTCTGTGTTTTGACATGAACTTTTCTGCTTCTCTATACAAAAAAATCTTTACCTCTTAGTTTGTATTTTAACTTCTTGATCATCTCAATGCCCTCTGCGCTACTACTGCAATCAAACAGTAACTTTTGAAGACATCTATTAAAGGTAGTGCGCGTCTGCCTGGATGTAAGCAAACAATACATTAGCTTAAATCGTGACCGCACATTCTGGGATAAAGCGGTCCCTAAGGTTTAGAAATATTTTAAGTTCCGTTTCCAGATTTTTAGTACAATGTTTAATTATTTTTAAAATTAAAAATTACGACGATGTGGTTTTAACATTACTTGATTTCACACGGCAGTGGCCGTACTGACCATAGTGACCGTACTAACCACAGTGACCATAGTGAACGTACGGACGATAGTGACCGTACTGACAACAGTGACCATAGTGACCGTACTGACCGTACTGACCGTAGTGACCGTACTGACCATAGTGACGTTACTGACCGTAGTTACCGTACTGACCATAGTGACGATACTGACCGTATTGACCGTAGTGATCTTAGTGACCGCACTAACCGTAGTGATCGTACTGACCGTGGTGACCGTACTGACCGTGGTGACAGTACTGACCTGACCACAGTGACCATACTGACCACAGTGACCGTACTGACCACAAGGACCGTACTGATCGTGGTGTCCGCACTGACCACAGTGACCGTACCAACGGTAGTGACGGTACTGACTGTAGTGACCGTAGTGACCGTACTGGCCGTGGTGATCGTACTGACCACTGTGACTGTACTGACCACTGTGACCATACTGACCGTACTGACCGTGGTGCCGGTCTGACCATGGTGACCGTACTAACCGTGGTTACCGTACTGACCACAGTGACCGTACTGAAAGTAGTGACCATACAGAGCGCAGTGACCGTACTGACCGTAAAGGACGTGCTGACCATAGAGACGGTTGTTTCAGAATGAGATTATGACTGACAAAAAAATCTTTACTTAAGGAACTAATTTTACTTTCATGGATTATACAAATAAAATGATATTTCAACACAAATTTCAATGAAGCTGAGATTGAGAGTGTAACACATTCTTGGGTCTGGTTGTAACTACTTCTTGGTTCTAGTTGTAACTAGTTCCTAGGTCTAGTTGTAACACATTCTTGGGTCTAGTTGTAACAAATTCTTGGGTCTAGATGTAACAAATTCTTGGGTCTATCTGAAACTAGTTCTTGGTTCTAGTTGTAACTAGTTCCTGAGTCTAGTTGTAATTAGTTCTTTGGTCTGGTTGTAACTATTTCTTGGATCTATTTGTAACACATTCTTGGGTCTTGTAACAATTTCTTGGGTCTAAATGTAACAAATTCTTGGGTCTAGCTGTAACTAGCTTTTTGGTCTATCTGCAACTAGTTCTTGGGTCTTGTGGTGACTAGTTCTTGGGTCTAGCTGTAACTAGTTCTTGGGTCTAGTTGTAATTAGTTATTTGGTGTAGTTGTAACTAATTCTTTGGTGTAGTTGTAACAAATTCTTGGGTCTAGCTGTAACTAGTTCTTGGGTCTAGTTGTAACTAGTTCTTGGGTCTGGTTGTAACTAGTTCTTGGGTCTAGTTGTAATTAGTTCTTGTGTTTAGTTGTAACTAGTTCTTGAGTCTAGTTGTAGCTAGTTCTTGGGTCTAGCTGAAACATATTTTTGGGTCTAGCTGTAACTAGTTCTTGGGTCTAGCCGTAAAACATAATTTTGCCTAGTT